AACTTCAGCCAGCATTTACGTGCATCATCATCGTGATCTTTATCTTGTTTTTTTTTTTTTTTTTAATCTTTATTGCTTTGCTTTTCAGTCCCCAAGATGAAACGTGTTCAGTTAAGTGGTGCACAAAAAAGAAAGCTAAGCAAACAGAATGAACAAAAGGCTTTATCTATGATGGCGAAGACTGGACAGGTGGCTAATTATTCTATTCACGTGACGCAAAATGATCTTCCAGTCTCTGTCTTTGGAAGGAGTCATTGCCACAGATAGTACACTTCGTAGTACCTCTTCATTCATTTCAGGGTCGGAATATTATGATATAAATGGCAATTAAGAATCACAGGCTGGCTCATCTATCATATTTCTCACTATTGAGTTACCAGTTCAATCTCTCGATACATCTACGCAAGCTGTGTGGCAACTCAGGCTGATGTTCAATGGCTAATGGAAATAAATTGTACGTTGACATGATACAGTCTGCAAAAGCTAAAGTAAATAAAGCAAAAGATCCAGAGTTGTGGAGCGATTTCTCAATTGATGTGGTTTCTTGGGTTGATCATGGACCCAATGACAGCATCACAGTGGACAATTTGACAAATCGTTCCGAACTTTTACTAGTGCTCGCATTATCGTATCTATGGGATCAAGGCTAATGGTGAGCAATACAAGAGAGAATGGGTACTTAATTCATCCTCCACAGGATCAGTGTACTATTTTGTTTTAAACTTGCTTCGAAAGGTTCCAAACTTTTGGCTATCAAAGCGAGGTTCAGTATTGGAGAAATACTATAATTGATAATCATGAAAGTGCTACTCATCGAGATTCCTTGTTAACATACTTGACTCGAACAACTTGGCTTAGGCTTGGAACAAGAGTACAATTACTGAGAAAGTACCTTGAGGTGTGTAATAGCTGTTATATGTATATTATCTGAACGTTGACTGACTATAGGAGGAACAATGGGATTTTTAAGGGTTGCTTGAACTCACCAGCCAGTTTATCCATTTCTAGAAAGATATATTTTAAAGTATGGGAATTCCAGAGAAGAGATACAGAAAATATTGCAAATATGATGCAGGAATTTGAATTTGTTTTAATGTTAATCAATGGAAGAAATTCTGGAAAACAGATCACAGAGTAAGTCAAATTCTACAAAATGAGCATGTAAACTTGAAAACGTGCGCAATCGACGTTCTTCAATAGCTGTCCAGTTACAGACTTCAAGGTACGAATTTGAAAAGAATAGAAGTAGCTGCCAAGAAAAGTATGCTGGGTGTGGATTAAAAGGCAGTTCACACCCGCAAGAAAGTGCCCAGTGATGGGGATGTTCCAGAAAAAAAGTTCGCATTTCCACTTGACATATAAATCTTGACAAATTAGAAAGAGATGAGATTGAGGGGACATCTGTACAGTGATACAGCAGACAAATTTTCTTGCCTAATTGATGTACCAGAAAAGGCATTAGTGTTGTCAAAAACTAATTGATAATTATCCAGATAACATGAATAGTAATCTATCTACTGAGCTTCGGTAGTTTCACGCATATGATTGACATACATATAGTGCAAAAAAGCTGTAAAAGCTAAATTCAGTCATGATGAACTTCATAAAGAATTGTAGAAAACAACATTGAATGTGTTTTGCTACAAGAGATGATGAAATCCTTATCTCTTCTTATGACTGAACCATATTTGTTGCGCCAGATTAACTTTGAGGATTTAATGTTCATAGAAAATGCAGGAGAAAACCCTTTAAGTTGAAACTGTTTCTTTTTTAAATATTGGCAATACTGGCTCCTGTTGAAAGACAAATTTAAGTATTTATATTTGTATTTTTCCCTTTACAACATTTAAAATTTGAATAGCAAGTCAAAAACTTGTATTGTATGTAGTCCTAGTTCTAAGTAAATAATCTGCTCATACTGCTGTCTGCTCTACAGTATAGTCACTATGTTAAATGCATATGAAAAGCAGATATTTTAAAGATATTAACAAAAGAAAAGGGAATTCTGAATAGTTTTTACATTATGCCAGTGGCTGTACTTAGGGCACAAATTAGCCTTAATCCGGCCCTGAATATATGCATATATATATATATATATATATATATATATATATATATATATATATATATATACAATTCTATATAAATACATATGTATGTGTATGTGTTGTGCGCGCGTGTGTGTGTGTGTGTGTGTGTGTGTGCGTGCGTGTGCGTGCAGTGTGTGTAGCGCGCCGTGTGCAGAGTGCGTGTGCAAGCGCGCGTCTGAGCCAACAAGAGTCCCTCTCGTTCCTCTCGCCAAAAGCAGCAAAAAAGAAAAAAAAACGGGAAAGGAAGGCCTCCCAGCCCGCCAGCACCCTCCCGCCAGACCAAACTCGGTCCGCATATGTAAATATAACCGAATCTCCTGTCACTGATCACGCCGACTGACAAGTGATCCCAGTCCATCCTCCTGAAAAGGTATTCGATGGACAGATTTCATCTCCGTAGCCGCTGGGCC